GCTTCAGCACCGGTGATCTTATCATCTGAGAACTGCAATTTGCAGAACTGAGAAATACATGTAGTTGTTGGAGTTTGCAACAACATGAAAGTCCGTGTGAGAGAAAAACTTCCAAATCCTTATCAAATTCTTCACATAAAAGAAAACATTGATTACCTATATTTCAGAGTGAAACATATCCCACAAAACTGCCCTTTTCTTCTTTGTGTGCTCTGAGTACATGTATTTGCTCTGTAAACAAATGTTTGATGAATTTATCATATTTTTCTTTGGCTGGGTATTGTATTTTGGAGACTAACTACATGTACACATACACCTGTATATGTACATGTACATGTACTTACCGGCATGCCCAGGTACAGGTACTTTGCTAACTACTTTCGTGACCAAGTGCTCTGTTTGTCATTTGTGAGCACCTTCTTTAAAAAGCTTTTGCTTTGCAATGTAGTGGTGGAAGCCCAGTTAATTATCACATTGCATTTTACATCTACTAACATTTGCGAAAATACAAAGAACCTTTAACTGTAAGTCTGTATAATTGTCCGCGGGGTTCTTCTTATTCCCTGTTTGGTATTTTTTTTAATTGAAGTGAGGCGAAGCATACAGTCTCTAGCATTGAACTGAGGCAAACACATCATTTTTGTATACTGTTTGTCCTGTATGGTTATGGATCGTATTCAGTGAAGAGACTTGTCCTCTGTCGGTGATTCACTCTTGAAACTTTCACTAGTTTCAGGCACCATCTCCCCATATGCCTCGTTACAAACTCTGTGGAACTCGATCATTGCACACTGTAAGTTGTTCATCATGTTATTGTGTGATGGCTGCTGTCATATCATTATTTCTACATGTGCATGTAATATGTGGAGAGGCTCTGCCTTACCAAGCTCTAATGTGCAGAATCATGATCATAATTACTATCATGTAGCATTGACAGGATGCAAGATTTCATCAAGGCTTTTTTAAAGTGTGATATTGCATTTGTTTTGTTAAAATTTAATTTTTTACCTATTTAATTCACTTGCAATCACTGTTCATTTGTCATGCAAATATGCCAGTACTGCATTTCAAGCACCCCGACCTTTTCCAGTTGAAAAGAACCATGTTGGTGGGGAGTGTGTATTTCTTTGCTAACCACAAGACCATTAAGCATGCCTTTCATAGTCATATATGAACCAGCAAAGTGCAGTTCTCACCAAAAGAGCCTCTGCTGCTAGAGAAGTTGCGCCCTCTCTTGGTCTTGCTCAGGGCAGATATTGGTAGTTTACTGATTTAGGCACAGTCAAAGTGGATGTGATGCCATGTTGATACAAATACATGCATCAGATACAGGTGTTTACTACATGTATTAACTGAAACCCATTTTTCTGCCTCCATGCATACATGTATTGGTACATTTCACTGACACGTACATACCGGGTAGGTTTGCTCTTAAACTGTGCTACGGTACATGTATGTGTACATGTACTTCACATCACTCCAGAAATGTCAAATCAAAACTCAGGCTCTTTGTTCCTCCGTAGATAAAGTCTGCTTTTCTTGGAATTTGTCGCACTTCCACAGTACATGCAATTAAATGAACTCTAGACATGTTACAAAATTATAACCACTGATGCACATGTCAAATCACCTGTTGGCAAGCATATAACAATGTTGGAGTAATTACTGTATAAACATAGCAGGGAGTTGTTGAAACAGTAGCTGTGTCTGTTAATTAAAAATGGCTTAGCTGCCCTCTGGTTATTGATTTACCTTGTTATTGCCATGGAAGGATGGTACATGGACATGTACATATTTGAAGATGCCACACTTTGCATTGTAGTGGTCACTTGTACTTAGCATGAGTGTTCTTGCTGTAGACCATTTGCTCTTCAATAGTGAAGGGCATTTGCTGTGTGGATTTCATGTGCGGCATTACTGCCTGTTTCTGCTGTAGTAGTAATGCTTTTGCTGACACTAGGACATTTAGATTTTACAGGAAAATGTTGATTTTTAGCGTGATACAATGTACCTTTTAATTGAAATTGAGCATTTTTTTTTGGATGGTTAATCTATGATTTTTGACGGATATAGTATTCTTTGTTAGCCATATCCATGTAATTTCCATCTGCATTTCAAATGCCAGAATGACAGTTCTCTGTTGCCAGTTTATTTTTACATTTGTCCTCCTTAGCTAATCTGCAGGAAGAGAAGAGAACAACTCAACTTACTTTCAAATACCACGCTGGAAAGATGGTAAGTTCTTTGAAACAAGAAGTTTTGTACAGTTGTATGAGTACCCATATGTCAACTTGATTGTGACAAAGTCTTGGATAAGTCCCTCAATCCCAATCCACTATCAGTGGCAGGTGTTTTGTCATGATTAAAGAAATTGCTTTGTCTTTTTGACAAACAGGTGCCAAGACTCAGGGAACCCAGACATTTATATGCACAGTCCAAAGATGGAGGATCTCAGCAGGCCCCCAGGTGGTGAGTAGCCCCTTCACTCCATCATCTCACCCTGTGATCCCACCTCCGTGACCTCTGAACTAGATCAAAGATATCAGAATTTTCTTCTAAGGCCAATTACCCTTACAAGAGGCCCAATGAATGTGTGATGCATGTGGGCTGAATATTGTAAGGTACATGTGTGTAGCTTTCTTTATGGCTTCCTTAGAATAGAAAGGTTGAGATTTGTTGTGCTTGTATTTGTGTGTGTATCTCAGGCCAGCAGATATGGAGGTGTTACCTGACAGAGTTTGTCACATTCCCTATGTGCCAAAGGAACGTGAAAAATTTTATCAACCATGTAAGTAAACATTCAAGGTTTCACATTTGACGTACATTTGTTAAAGAAAAGTTTTGGAAATTTTTGTACCATCAACCTTCATCCAAGACTCGCATATTTAGTTACCTTTAATCAGCTCTTTTCCTTCGCTGTTTTCAATGGATTAGAAATATGGTTACAAACGAAGCTGATACATGTACATGATCGTTTTCTTGCTCTTTCTGATGAGATTTCCTATTATTGATTGATTCATCAACTTACACTGAACAATCAATTGACTCCAAGCCGATTTCATGTACATGTAGTTAAGAATGGCTGATACTGATTTGTTTCAGCTGGTTATGAGAAGATGCCACAACCCTCAGCTGAAGGAGAAGGAAGAGTGGTGTATTTCTGCCCACCGACCAAGGAAGCTTATGTGAGTTTGTCTTATTGGTGTTATCTAATTTATAACATGCAGAATGCTCTGTACTCTTCAGTTGCTCGTAGGCGGTGAACATGTCTAAAAGAAAGGTCATGTTATGCTCTGATGCCCTTGTGAATGCACAGAAATCTTTCATAGTTTCATCCATAATTGTTAACCCTTAACCTTTCAGTTTTTGAGGTCAAGGGTCGGAGGAAGCCGGAGTGGTTGTCCAATGAGGGCAGTGAAGATCAAAACTCCAGAGGACATCACACTTATCTTTGAGTCTCGGTTTGAGAGTGGAAATCTGATGAAAGTAACACAAGTGTAAGTCAATAATTTTCTGAAAGAGTGAGAAAGTCTTTTGACATATTTGATATCTGTGAAGTACCCCTTCTTCCCTTACAAATGACTACTACTACTAGATAGGCTTTTCCAATTCAACCAGTTTAATCCATTCTTACCCTTTCCAACCTAGGTCTGCCTAACCTAACTGTAGCAATTCATTCATTGTGCTGAGTTCTTCAAATTACCAGAAACATTTTTCTTTTTGTAGGTCTGAGTATGACTATGAGCTACAACTTCGTTATGACTTGTACACCAACAAACACACACAGTGGTTTTACTTCAGAATACAAAACATGAGACAAGGCGTTAAGTATAGATTCACTATCACCAACTTCATGAAGGTAAGCTGAAATAGGTCAGATGATACCTTCCAAAAGTTTTGTAATGCAGAAGGTGTAATGCTGATAAGGCACCATTTCAAAATTCTTATTGGGTGGGTGTCCGACAGAACTGTGCGACTGATACATTTATCATTGGTTGGCTATCAGGTTAAGTGTTCTCAAGTGGCCAATTCTAACTGATTATGCCTTTTTATTGCATTCCTCCCAAGGCTGTGTGGCTTCAGTGCAGCAACACCCCCTCCATTATTCACTAAACACAAGTCACTGTTATAGGTCGGATGGCCCTGTCCTATAGTCAACCAATAGGAATTTTGAAATGATGCCTAAGAACATTGGTATATTTGGTTTATAGCCTGGCAGCTTGTACAACGATGGAATGAGACCGTTGTTATACTCGGAGATTGATGCTCAGAAGAGGAATGTTGGTTGGAGAAGAGCTGGTGAAGACATCAAATACTACAAGAACTATCTCAAGTAAGTACAGTCTAAACCTCAATGAGATAGATAGGTTGCTTGTTGAGTGTGACCGATGAGGGAAAAACATTAAAGAGCATTAAAGCAAACCAACGCAATCTCTCTGTTCCTTGGGAAGTGTTTATATGACCATCTTTTCATTATTTTTCTTACAGGAGATCTGATGGGAAATGTGAGAGGAATTTTTACTCGTTAACGTGGACCTGTGTCTTCCCTCATGATAACGATGTTTGTTATTTTGCTCATTGCTATCCATACACTTACTCAGATTTACAGGTGAGTTGTCCTGTCAATTGAATGATTTAAACTCAGTATATGGCTGGGTTATTTGATCACTGTGTGGCTGGATTATTTGATCACTGTGTGGCTGGATTATTTGATCACTACGTGGCTGGATTATTTGATCACTGTGTGGCTGGATTATTTGATCACTACGTGGCTGGATTATTTGATCACTGTGTGGCTGGATTATTTGATCACTGTGGCTGGATTATTTGATCACACCACCAGACAAGGCCTTATCTTAAAGCTCGTTTTGTGTCAGGTTATTAATGCACGAATAGAGAGACTCATCTTTGGTTCATATTGAACCACTACATGAATTTCATTCAGATGTTGAGGTACTCTTTGAGGTAATTGTTGGTGGCTGCATTTAATCTCTTAACAGGACTACCTACTCAATCTGTCCAATGATCCTGTATGCAGTAAGTTCTGTAAGCTAAGGATTCTGTGTCGATCACTGGCTGGAAATATCGTCCACATATTAACAATCACATCACCTGCCAAAAACCCAGAAGATGCCAAGGTAAGTTGTACCTTCTTTCTGGATGCATGCCTGAAAGTTGTTCATTGTAATCCAGTTCCACCAGTCCAAATCCTTGGATAATGGTTTATACTCCTGTCAGGTCATGCCTGTGATTCGTGTCTTTAATTTCTTCTTGTGCCTCAGATGAAGAAAGCAGTTGTCTTGACAGCCAGAGTTCATCCTGGTGAGACTAACTCTAGCTGGATGATGAAAGGATTCCTTGACTTCTTGGTAGGATCCTCAGCAGATGCCAAGGTAGGTCATAGTCGATGCCCTCTCAGATTGCTACCTGCTACTCTATCCTTTCATACAAGAATTCAGTTTGGTTTTTTCCCTCCCATCAGCTTCTCAGAGACACATTTGTCTTCAAGATTGTACCAATGTTGAACCCTGATGGTGTCATCGTTGGTAATTACCGCTGTTCTCTTGCTGGTCGTGATCTGAACCGTAACTACAAGAGTGTTCTCAAGGATTCCTTTCCTTCAGTATCACACACCAAACTCATGATCAAAAAGTAAGTTTATTCCTTTTGTTTGGATTGCCTATGAGCATACTGTTTGATTATCATAAATAATTGCTTATATCATGAGTGGCTTATTCTGAGGCCAGTTGTAATGGCTTATTCGGAGGCCAGTTGGAATGGCTTATTCTGAGGCCAATTTGAATGGCTTATTATGAGGCCAGTTGGAATGGCTTATTCTGAGGCCAATTTGAATGGCTTATTATGAGGCCAGTTGGAATGGCTTATTCTGAGGCCAGTTGTAATGGCTTATTCTGAGGCCAGTTGTAATGGCTTATTCTGAGGCCAGTTGGAATGGCTCATTCTGAGGCCAGTTTGAAGCTGTGACAATTCGAAGTCATGTTCTGACAAGGATCTGTATTGCGTTATCCACTGAACTAATTTCTTGGCCTTTGACCCTCAGGTTGATGGAAGAGCGAGAAGTTAGTATCTACTGTGATCTCCATGGTCACAGCAGGAAACAAAATGTTTTCATTTATGGATGTGAGAACAAAGACAACCCCAAGAGGAGATTAAGAGAACGCATCTTTCCTGTCATAATGGGACGCAATGCAGCAGACAAGGTAACCATTCTCACAAAATTTCTGTCCGTTGCTGACACACTGAAATATTTTTGACTAAGTCAACTGTCATAGAACTAAATGTGGTATTCTGGGTGGGTTTATAAAAGTGGCTTCTCTCCTCTGCAGTTTTCTTATGACATCTGCAAGTTCAAAGTTCAGAAGAGCAAGGAAGGGACAGGTCGTGTGGTTGTATGGCAAATGGGAATAATGAACAGCTACACAATGGAGGTAAGTGCTGCAATTTAGAACAAAGCTTGTTTATTTTCTTAACTGAATAACAGACAGTGTATTCTAAGGAAATACGGGCAATTCACAATAGTGTGCCTCCAAGAGTTTGCACTGCGTTGGACAATCAAAATGCGCGAAATCTGTCTACCCTTTCAAAACGGGCATTGGGTCTACAAATTTGTGCATTGTGATTGGCCAACGTGTTTCAAACTCTTGGAGGTGCACTATTGTCAATCTCCTTTATTGGGTGACCACATTATTCAGCTACAGTGTTGAAAGTACACCAAGGTTTCTGGAATATTTCGTGGGTTTTAGTTGCATGTTTTCAAATTTGCCAGAAGCTCTCATGCATGCATTTTCATACAAACGTTTTTGCTTGCAGAAGTTTGGTGTTGTGTCAGTTTCTGAAACAAACATATACTCAGTCTTTCATTCTACAATAGTTGAAGGACATTTATGTGTTTCTTGTCTGGCTTTGGTATTTGTTGGAAGTAAGCATCACTGCTTGTCAAAGAAGTTACCTAGAAACCTTGAGTGCTGTTGCTAAGGTAACGTTGTTCTGACTCTTCCTTCTCCCTAGGCCACATTTTGTGGTTCTACTTTAGATGACAAGTTACAGGGTCATTTTACTACAGCGGACTATGAGGCTATGGGGTATCACTTCTGCGATACCATCCTGGATTATTTTGATCCCAGTGAATCCAAAGTAAGCCATCACTCTGCCAATTCCATGGATTTTCCTATTAAGCTGTTCTTTAACTTTAATTGGGTCATTGGGTCCATGAGGTTGGGGCACGATTTGTTACAGTGTCCTTGTTACATCGGCAAGTTTTACCATCTGTCTTGACCTGTAGAGTAGGTCATTTACTCTGTAAAAATAACACACCCCTCTGTATTCAGCCTTGCAAGATGTATGCCAGTGTCAATTTGAAATCCACATGCAGGGAAATAGCTGTTCATTTTTATGGAATCCATGTAACAATTGACACCGTTACGAATTGTGCCCCAACCTCATGGAATGACCAAATTTACTTTTTTTTACCAAAGTTATATGCATTTTTGTCCCCAATTGGCGTATACCAATAATTATTACAGCAATTAGCCTATTTAAACTGTTTCCTGTCTGCCCTGATATAAGAATCAAGGATTAAAGATATGTCTTAAGTTTCAAATATTTCTGTGGATACAAATTTGCTATACTAACAATTGTTCGTTCTTCCTTTTTACTACACGCTTTCGTCTTTATTATGGTAACTTCATTTAGATATATATGTGTTTGATGTTTAAGTGCATTGATTGAATTGTGTAAATTTGTTGCATGATACAAATAAATTCAGATAATTTGATGTCATGTGACTGGTTCATATGATTTGTGTTAGTGAAGTAATCATGTACATATAGCATGTCATGATGTAATATTTTGTTTGTAGTTGCATTTTTACTTCACTAGTTACTTACATACAATCTTATGTTACTTCCTTGCTCTTAAAAAATGCTTATAATCAACACAAATGATTTCTTTCAGTGTGATCAAATCTTGTCTGATCTTGAGGAGAAACTGAGACAACAGATTCTACGTCATCTGGAACGGACTGGCTCCCCTCTACCTGCCGATGGAATCATTGACCTCAGTGAAGACTACTCATCAGCATTGGAATCAAGGTATGGCAAGTCATCTCTTGGACTGACCCAACTGGTGACACAAAGGGTGATAAACGTGAGAAGGATAATGCCCGACAGGTCATCTCTTGGACTGATCCAAC